TAACATAATATATTTTAAAAAATTGTGTTTATTTACACTGATTTTGTAAAGCATGAATGTGCCTATAGGGGTGAAATGTATTCATGGGACTGCCATGACTCCTGACTTCAGGAGCTGGTGGGAACCGTGCAGCGAAGAGTCTGAGGCAGCGCAGCATGTGCTAAACAGGGCGGACAGCTGACTCAGCACCACCCTGTTGTCTGTGTGTGTTCACTTGACAGTGTCTTTATCCACTGCGACAGAACACAGCCTCGGGGCCCGAAAGTCCCTCACAGCTATCAGAAAATCCTCCTCCCAGTCCGGGCCCAGGAATCCTTACAGACGCCCACTGATCCTGATCCGTCCTCTCCCTCTCTGTCTCTCATCCCACAACAACAACAACCAGTCATGAGAGCAGAGGGCAGTTATTCAATACCACACGAGTAGCTCACAGGGTTCTTTTACAGGTTTATGAAAGCTGAATATTATATAAGTATTATAAAAGTGTTTGGATGAGGAACTCATGTTACTGGATGAGTAACATTAACATTAGTGATAATAATAATTTTTTCTGCTTTTTTTCCACGTGCAGTCCAACTTTATGAACATCAGTCACATGTCAATTAACCCATCGTTACTTTGTATCGTTCGTTCTTTGTTTGGGACCTCAGCTTATAGGTGTCTACATTAAAGGGATAATTACCCCAAAAATGAAAATTCACTCATTATCTACTCACCAATATGCCGATGGAGGGGTGGGTGAAGTGTTTGAGTCCACAAAACACTTTTGGAGTTTCAGGGGTAAACAGCGTTGCCGTCAAATCCAGTACAACTGAAGTAAATGATGACCGATTCTTCAAACCTGAAAAAACAACTGGAACAAAAAAATAAAATGCCTCCATACTGGTCCTGTAGCATCATCCAAGTGTCCGTAATCCCAGACATTCAAAGTCGGTGTCATTTAAGCCATGTTTTAAACCTAAAAGTCTGCTTTGATCCACGCGACCACATAGCTTGAGATGAAGAAATCAGAGGACATTAAGGCCTAAAACATGTTGTAAATGTGACGTTTCTAGTCGAATTTGAATGTCGGGGCTTACGGACACTTGGATGATACAACAGGAGCAGTATGGAGACGTGTTTTATTTCTGTTGTTTTTTTACGTTTGCAGAATTGATCACCATTTACTTCAATTGTATTGTATTTGGCTGCAATGCTGTTTACCCATGAAACACCAGAAGAGTGAAGTGGACTCAAAGACTTTACCCACCCCTCCATCAGCATAGTGGTGAGTAGATGATGAGTACATTTTCATTTTTGTGTGAACTATCCCTTTAAGCATGATTTGTAAAAAACATTGAATTACATTAAAAGTCATATGTAATGTTATTCATTGCAATGCTCCTGAAGTGGGGAGCATTGTAATATATGATAGGTGTATTGTATATTACTTTGTTCAGTTATATATCTCATTCTGGTTTATTAAAATTAAAAAACATTTCTTCAGTGAATTGAAACACATTTGGTTGTATTTTAAAAATACATATTTACGTAATTATCCCCTATACACCTTGTCTTTTCTCTACAATGCAATTTAATTTGTTGTACTGACCAAAGTTCACACTGCTTCATTTGCAACATGATGTAAATGATGGAAGGTAACATGTAACACTGTCATGTAACATACATGACAGATGTGATGGGCTGCTTCACTAGTTTCTGGTTTCTTCTTCATGTTGATTTCTCATATTTAGTTTTGGGGACAGTGTTAATAGCAGCAGTGGTGATTGTTTTAGCCTAAGAACTTCTTTGACAACTGTGTGTGAGCCTAATAATTCCTCTGGGACACCAAAGCTTCACTGTGCCAAAAGTAGAAACAAGTATATCACATTCAAGATGCTTTGTTATTAAATTCCTGTATCACCTAGACAGCATATCTGGAGAAACAATATTATGGGAGTAACAGGAGAGTTATCTTTAATATTTATTGTATCAGGAGTCACTTCTTTTGTTGTTTTGATGCTACAAAGTCCACATTAAAGCAACTGACATTAGACATGATTATATCTGAGCGAAGATGAACTTGGACAATCCGTTTTCTGACTTGAAGAATGTAAGAAGTGGCCCCATGAATCAGTGGTTTGATGAGAGCCTGATCTCTTCTGTGGGTAAATAACTAGCGACAGAAAAGCTTAGTCATGGCATCTGCTCTGATTCAGCTTCACACATGCACAGACTCGTTCAGCGGTAATCACGGCATGGGCCCTGCTCTGCTCTGCTCTAGGCCCATGAATGCTGCAAACCTGCATTCCCACACCTGCCCGAGGCGCTCACTGTTCACGTCTGTACTCCGAGCTGGAGAGAGAGAAAGTGAGACACGGAGACAGAGGAATCCACCACAAGAGACAGAGGGAGTGGGAGAGAGATGAAGAGAGAGGAAGACCAAGAGAAAATAGACTTGAGTATTCTCCACTTCACACATGTTCTTGCTGAGGCTTCGAGGCCTCCAGCATGAAGAAGATGATCTGATGTCATTTGCAGGATCGTGGGGGGAGCACATGCCGCTGCCTGCACCTGTATGCTAACCAACGACTCCACGTAACAGGGTGTGTAAAGAGATACAAGCGTAGCAGTGGGTTATTCCTGAATACTCTACAATTTGTACACACAGAGCTGCCTTTAATCAATATAGTGTGTTCACATAGTTTCACAATTGAAACGTTGCTTATGGTAACTCACACGTGTTTACTCTCCAAACAGCCTTCGAGGCACAAAGCAAACCTTTCCTGTCCTGTACAGTCCCTCATTGGTGAAATATATATTTTCTCATGTCGTCTGTGCAGAGTGGCATCCAAGTGTTTCGCTCATAAATGGGATATGAGAGAAGAATTGATGGAAGGGTAGAACATTTCTTATTTGTGCAGTGAAACAGGAGATATTACTTCTCCCTCTCCGTGGGCCCCGAGAGGAGGAAAGGGCAGAGCTAGTGGTCAACAGAGGTCTCACTTTCTAGGGGCAGCTGAATACCGGAGGAGCTGACAGGTATGTACATATTGGAATGTGCTTCTCAGCCACACCTGTGGGGGGGAACACACCCGCCAAGCCTGGCCTCTCTCATCCCACTGGCTGATCTCCCCGTGATTGACAGCTGAAGGAACTATTTGGCTCTGGTCCATGGAAGCCCAGGGGGCAGGTATGGTGAGTTCGGAGCGCGAACCAATGGCAGCTGTGAAGTCCCTCCAAGCCAGGCGGGGCCGCAGTGAAATAAAACTCATCAATGGGGTGTGTCTCAAAAGGTTGTCAGCAGTCAAACAGTGAAGGGCCACTGCTGCCGGAGCACACTGGCTAGTTACAGCTTAACTAGTTCGTCGCTGAGTAGAGATCCAGGTGGTTTTCAGCCTGCAGAGATGGTAGAAAGAGACAGACAGGAACCTTCTCTGCTTCTGACAGATTCACCTTCGCTGTGGCTGAATGATGGGAATGAAACAACAGACCTCATCTGCTCCGACCTCTGGATCTCAGCTCTCAGGGCAAGGACTTTGAAGAAGAGGAAGGCCGATTCACTCGGCCCTCACTGGGAACTTTTTATACACTAACAGGTTCTTCGTCACAGCTGGACAGAGATGAAAAAGTAGCTGTGGTTCTGTTGTCGCTCACATCTCCTTATCACTTTTCCAGCCCAGCTATAGATTGTGTATCCGTTGGACGGAGAACTGATAAGGGCATGTGCATGACATTACCTACACAGACAACGGCTGAGTCATTCAGCCTCTGGACTTTTCTGTCATTCAGTCTGTTTTGTTAGTTGTACTTTTAAAGCATTAATTATTTCTGACTGGTTGACTAGAACTGTGATTCATTGCTTTTTTTAAAGATGTTAATAATATCAGAGCTTTTTAAAAGATAGAAATGTACTGCTCTAATATGTAGTTTACATTATAATCTTGAAAGATTTGTCTATAATTATTTTTCTAAACAGTGATTCAGCTCTAGACAAATTAAGTTAAATCCAAGGCCTGAATTAATTATAACTTTAAAATGTAATATTATGTTTCATAAAATGCAAGAAAAAGATTCATTTCCTTCAGGCAGCTGTTAACACACCTGGTTAAAAGTCATATTTACCAAACATATGACAGAAAGCAACATTACAGATTTATTTATCAGGTGCTACTTCAGGCAAAAGGATGCATTTCACCAGAAAGGACATAAACTGGTTTGACTGTACAGAAACCAGCAGAGTCAAAGTGAACTGACAGCCTGACATGACACAGCATGACTAATGTAATCCATTAACTGTACACTGAGGACCAGCTGGAACACACAATTTAGGTGAGTGACTTTCAATATCGTGCACACCACCAGATTTTTTCACACCAATAAACATAAAGCTTTGACATTTTTCTAAAAATAGCTTTCAATTAGATGGTTCATCCATTGTCTCCTGCATTTTGAAAAGTGCTGCATAAATGTATACGTTTTAAAAACCAACCATATATATGTTTTGTTTTTTTAGATATATCTCGGATGTTTGAACTTTATTTCTAAGTGTTAAAAGGTGACAGAGAGCGGGGAGGACATGCAGCAAGGACCAGGTCAGATCCAAACCTGCTGTCGCTGCAGGAGAGCTCGGCCTCCGTGTGCAGGGCACCTGTGCTACCATAAAGCATTATTTTAAGAAGACTTTGCTATTTCTAATGAATGAGTGATTTCAACCGATTTACTTTTTCATCTGGCTTTCATTTAAAAGAGCTCTGGGAAAACTCTCATAAATAACAGAGCCTCCAATAAGAAGCTCTGGCAGACTGTCCTCTGTTTTCCTATATCATAAGAAAATGACAAGATGGGGCTGCATTCAACATTTACAACACATCCACTCCTGTTCTGATAAGCTGCATGTGGTGAAGTGGGTCTGACCAACAATCAGTTGTTTTGGATATTATTTCTCATTTGCAGTATTTGTACCATATATGTCATACGATAATAACAATAATTATTATAATAATAATACCCAGAAGAAATCTCTTTTAATCAGACTTTTATTTCAAGAGCACCGCATTAGTGTTGTAACCTGTTGCACACTTTGTCACTACAGGCATATATAAAGAACACACACACACACACACACACTATAACACAGAGTCTACTGGATCTACTGTCTCCCTACACATGAGGATCTTCTCTCCTCTAAAGTACATTACCCTTGTCACCACCGCTGCCACCTGAGCTCACTTCCACATCCCAGCAAAGTCTTCCTCTTAAACCTGGATACCTTCTTAAATTTAGGTTTTTAGGGAAATTCTTTTATTGCTTTCCATGTTTAGTGTCTGTGTCTCTGCAGTGAGGATGTAACAGAAACTGTACAATCATCTGTATGTTGGCAATTATTGTTAGATGTCATTAATAAACGCAGTAGTTTGATGCCTTGAACGTCTCCTGGAGTCTGCAGCACTAACCATATGGTTAGAAAAATATAAGAATAATATAAGAAGAATTTGTTTTGCCATGACCATTTTAGCATTCCGATTCAAAACATGCTGGAGTTTAACTGTGTAACAGGAATTACTCATTTAAATTCAAACCATCAGATAAGATCTAAGATTAAAAAAACAAGTACAATCTATTCAGTATATATATACTGGAATGAAAAATGTAAATCAGGAGAATAAATAAAGTGTGCATTTTATACTCATCATCAAATAGTTCAAGAGTTATTGCAATGCCCTATAATGCAGAATAGATAGTAAAATGAATATGTAAAAAGGGCTGGTAGGTTATAAAAGCAGTGCAGGCTGATGATGTTTACATCAGACCGACCATAGAAGCACTGAGGTCCCACAGCTTTTTGGCTGCAGCGTCATCCAGGGCCTGTGGCGCCGGTGTTTTGGGAGCACAGTCACTGTACGGTGGGAGAAATAAGAGGAGGACATGATCTCCAAAAGTCAGTGATTCATTGCCAATAAATCAACAGAAATTTGTGCAATAAATCTTTTATTAGCCATAAAACCAAGTTCAGTGGGGTTGATATCATCTATTCACTGCGGTGAGTTACTTTTGTGTTACTCTACAATGTTGTCCCGGCCCCCTAAGTATCAAGTGAGCAGAAAGTCAGCAGAATTCGATTTACCGCAGAAGCCGAAATGAGTGAGGGGGGTGTGATGACATGTCTAACACGCGACAACTTAGAAAGAATAGAAGAATATAAATATCTCCAGGTGAAAAAGCAGCCTTACATCCTACCACTGTCTGCTGCACCACCCCTCGGCTGAATCCTGCAGATTATTTGTCGTGGTCGTGAATGTGACTGGGCACAGAACCCCCCACTGCCTTGGGCATGTGTGAAAGGCAAACTGCAGAAACAGTCCGAGTTCCTTCTCAGGACATGTCTGAAAACGGCTTTTGAAAATGTTCACTTATCGAGTGTGATGTAGACAAACTTCTTTTTGCAACAAGCCCTCTGCTGGTCATCTAAGATAACAAAGGTTTCAGGCATTTCCTCATTGGCTTCACTTTCCAGACCCAGAAAATAAATCTATTTTATATAAAGGCTATGATGCCCACTAACTCTGGACCCTGGTAAATTAGATGCTAATTACTGCTCCCTATTGACATCACAAGTGTACAACGCGACATGAGACGAAAAACCTGAGCAACAAATCATGAGAAAGAAATGGATTCTATTCTGATGAGACGATTCTTGGTTTTTTGTCCATTAAAGTTCAAATCTAATTTTCATAACTACACTGATCACATGGCCTGTCTGAAATATCACTGACGGAAATCTGTCATAGAGACGGGGACTTTAATCCGAGAAATATTTTCAGCAACTTGAGTCTGTGCAGTCATGTGAGATTTTTGGTGGACGTACTTACCTGTAGTAGAGGCCGCTGACATTTGCCAGGCTCTCGTCCACAGCGCAGTAGATGGTGGTCTGGGCTCCTTCCCATGGATTTTTGAGCAGCATCGTTATTGGTTTTGCGATGATCCTCACCAAGAGTGAAAAAGTGGGTAAAATGTGGCGGCCTAACTCTGTGCGGATGACCCCGGGATGAAGGCTGTACACCGTCACTCCAGTGCCTGATGAAAGGATCCATCAGATCACGTGTTAGTGACAATACATGAAACTATGAGAGGGACAATGTGGATTTGAGATCTTCCTTCTTGATTATTTTATTTTAAATTATCTGGTTGATAATAACATGCATTATAGCAACACCTTTTGACAACATTTTATTAACAGTACATAGTGTGCATCATACAATACCTTGCAGTCTTGCAGCCAGCTCTCTGCAGAAGAGCACATTGGCCAGTTTACTTTGGCGGTAGCTCTTCTTAGGTTCATAGTCTTTATCCAGGTTAATGTCATCAAAGTTTATATGACCTATGAGAAACAAACCAATGCATAAATTGAAAGTCAAGAGTAAAATATTACAGAAATATTTGAACAATGATGCTATCCATATATATATATAGTGCCTTCACCTTTCTCATGTGCCAAGCTGGAGACGATAACAACACGACTTGGAGCCGACTTCTTCAGCAAGTCGAGGAGACAGTTGGTGAGGAGGAAATGACCCAGGTGGTTGACACCAAACTGCATTTCAAAGCCATCCTCGGTCTTCCATTGCGGACACATCATGATACCTAAAAGAAAATAAAACACAGGCAGGATAGTACAAATAAGTAATTACAAAAAAAAGAAAACACTTATTGTCTTATTTCAATATAAAGAATTGAAATAAGACAATAAACATAATTTTTCAAGTAAAATGTTTACATCAATGCACATCTGCTCTGCATTGCAAACATTGTATTGATCATTGTAAACATCTAATAAACAAAATAATAATAATAAAATCTACAATTCATTATGGACAAACTACGCAACTTCCAACATCCAAAGTGTTCTTCTGCATTATGTACTCTGTAAAATAAAAGTATTCATGTTTACAAATGCTGAAACTGATATGTCTTTCACAGACTCATTTTAGATTATATATCTGCAGAGATTCTATTTGCCCTTGTGTCTCTTAGTTAGTTTGTGCTCTTCACCCCTCAGCACTTGTGACTCTGCGTATGGCAGTTGCTTTATGAATAAAATTGCACCGCCTTGCCTTGAGGGGTATAAGGCCTATTTCATCTGCATCTCTGCATGTTTGTTCGTCTTTATTGATCCTGCAGTGACAGATGGAAAATACCTGCATTGTTGATGAGGATGTCCAAGTGTTCCTCGTTCTCCTCTACATCTTTGGCCAGGTCTCTGATGGACTGCAGTGAACTCAGGTCCAGTTTCTTTACCACCACATTGCCGTTGCCACTCTTCTGCCGGATGTCATCGGCAGCGATGCATGCTCGGGTCATGTCCCTGCAGGCGAGGATAACTCTGGCCCCTTGACGGAAATAAAAACGACAGTGTGCATGTTTAGATTTAATTAGTAATCGTGCAACTAGTGTTGAAGCATTGGTCGTGATATCAGTCAGCTGATGTAAATACGCTGCTACTTTAAGGTTAATGACAGAGTTTCGCACACACAGAGCACTTTGAGACAGAGAATAAACACGTTTGAAGGTCTCACCTCTCTGGGCCATGTCCACGGCCGTCTCCTTCCCAATGCCAGTGTTGGCTCCTGTGATCAGGACTGTTTTCCCATCCAGCCTGACCTTGCTACGGCAAACTCTGCCAGCCATCCATCTACGGAAGGTCAGCGCGCCAGCAGCTGGAGGAAAACAGATGTTAATGACACTGTTAAAAACACTTTAACACTAACATCACATGTAGTGTAGACAACTCTAGTCGTCTCATTGTGGTTCATTTGAAACTTTTCCATGTGCAGATGTGACAACAGTATTGAGATGCTCTGCCATGACAGGACTCTTTCGACCTGAATCAGACCCAGTCTGTCTGTGTGGTGGTTTGGTTAGTTTTGATCCACCAGGTCTCCATTGTTAGCAGACACAGTTTATTTCTCTAGCTAGTTAGATCTAAGAAAATGAGTAGACAAAAACCACTTCCACAGCTCACACCCTCTTAAAATGAAATGTTCCTCTCACCTGCAATGACAGCAAACGTGAGACCGAACGTGTGGTTGTCCACAAACTCCTTCACGGCCTCTCTGTAGTTCTGCATGTTTCAGCCCGTCCAGCACAGCCAGCTTCACTCCACGCTGGAAACTTGAGATAGAAACCGGTTCACTCTGACCTGGCGTTTTCCTCGAGCTGCTTCCCCGTTGATGAGTTTACATCACAGCCGAGCGGAAGTGACGAAAGGGGGGGGATTTCAGAATAAGATGTTGTTGTCATAGCAACGGATTTAGGACACGGGCGTAAAATTGCTGCTCTGCTGATAGACAGTGAAAAGTTATTTCGGCATCGTGCGTCAATGTCAGGCTCTCTGACACAGGTTTGGATCTGTTTTGCAGCCCTAAGAAGAACAGAGGAGGTTCTACAGGAGCCTGTTAAACAAACGAACAATCGAAAGGTCAATTAAAGCAGCTCAGTGACTCATCTGCTGTGATTCTCTGCTGGCAGGAGGCCTCATGGGCTGAGTGACGAGACGTAAGCAAATAAATCACACATGCACTGGTTCATGTGGTGGTGTTTTATAGCAATACCTACTGTGCAATGCAATACCTCACAATGTGTAATATCCATACCATAACGTGCAATATACATATTTACTGTAAATGTACATATTCCTCAAGACCATGCACCTTACCTCTTTTTTGCACTGTTACCTAACCTTACTTTATGTCATATGTTTATATTGTATATATCTTTACACTGGTTTCACTGTTATTGGAGTGGTTTTTAAATCTCATTGTACATGTGTATAGTGACAATAAAGGCATTCTATTCTATTTTATTCTAAATACACACATACTGTATGTGTCTCCAGTGCTTTTCATTAGCATTGAAATTTGTTTATATTCTGGATTCTGTATTCTAACAACTGAATATTTTATTTTGGCAAAAAAGAGTTTTGCTCAATACTGGAACAGTCACTGACTATTTATCCCTTTATTTTTATCATTTCCCCCTCAGAGTGGATATATAGACGGGCCTATCCTCACCACGTTCCACACAAACCTGGTCATTCTTCCTGCTGTGATGGAGTACATGCAGTACGGCTTCATAGCGCTCGGCCTGGCAACGATAATAATTGCCACTCTGGTGCATCATAAAGTGCGGGTAAAGCTGCCACTCAGCATGATCTGACATGTTTGTTTTAACTGCATGCAGCATGTTGCCCAGTTGTGCATGTTCCCCCACAAACCAATGAAACTAAAGATGCACTGACACTGTTAAGACTGAAAATAGTTGAACAAGATTGACACTTTATACATGAAGGGTCTCCTCTGTTTAGCAAAATTAAATGTGATCATCAAATGTGACGACAACAAACTGCCGTGCTGCAGTCGAAAACAGCCATTACAAAGCGCTTCTCAAAGAAAAGCAAATAAAATCACCAACATCATTTAAAAAGAAAACAGTAAAAGCTGTTTAGGAACAGTGAGTTCTGGGAGATGATTTAAAAACAGAGCCCTCAAATGTAATCTTAGTTTGGCAAGTAATATTTTCCAGGGGGTCGGGCCGTGACAATGTCGTTCTTTGTCGTTATCCTCAACCTAACAAGCTCCGGGAAGCTCGATGCCAAACCATGCAGGGCCGTGAATTCTAAAACACACTGGCAGCCGATGATGGAGACAGATATGATCATGCTTCGGTTAAATGTCTGGTGGCTGCGCCCCCACCCCAAATTGCAATATAATGGGAAAGCATTGGTTAATGCAGAGTCAGTGCGGGCCTCTTTATCTGTTCAAACACATTGAGTCAGGGTCAGGCTCCATCGTCAGTCCAAACGTCAAAGTCAGGGTAAAACACAAAGTTAATAGTAATTGATAGCAGCATACATCAGGTCATATGAGGCTGGTGAACTCCTCCAGACACTCCTCTGGAAATATTATGTGGTTTGATCATTTTCTGTGGCACGTTGGCGTTGCCCAGTAAGCACAAGTTAACCGGCCACTGTGTGGTGTCAGACTTATGGCCCTCTGGTTTGGGCTCATTCAGCTCTCACATATACATTTAGCTGCCAAAACATCTTGTTATGAGGTGGCAGCTGCGTACACACACAAACTCAGAGTGTCAGAGTTAGAGTTGTCTTGCAGCAGCACTGTTAGCGGAATTTTATATAAAAACATTTTAATAGATGCAGGAATACATAATGTTTATATATATATATATATATATATATATATACACAATCGTATTACTTGCCTTTGTTTATATATTGTTACATTTTAGAAATGCAAAGAAAATGTTGTTGTACAAGGATAATAAAGACATTCTATTCTACCCAGACTTACCCAACTGGTCTATCGCACTACACAGTCCTCCACATGTGTCTTTAAAACAGCACTATCATGCCAATGACCTGTCGTGCATGTGTGTGTTTCTAATTCGGGTTTGGTGCCTTTCTCTTCTTTGAGGTCATTGCAGGGGGCAACTATGATGTGGACTGCTTCGTCACAGACCCTCAGAACAACGTGCTGTACAATGAAAAGAAGAAGCAGTACGACAGCTTCTCTCACACCACGGCCATGAAGGGAGTCTACAAGGTCTGCTTCAGCAATGAGTTCTCCTCTTTTACCTATAAGACTGTGTACCTGGATTTCCGCCACGGAGACGAGGAGCCTCTCATGCCGAACATGAACAGAAACACAGCGCTGACCCAGGTAAGTCTGAGGAGTGATTTAAGATGACTTGTACACCTAAAAAGAGAACCTGTAGCCTTCAGTTATAAAAACTCAAAAGGAGTTTAGTTTGTCCAGTTTGGACTACTGTACATATGGAGTATTTAAATACAAAGGGCCCATTCTAGGGTAAAGAAAACAACAATTAGTACAATTTAGATGATTAAGATTACACACTCGCTGGGATTATTTTATATTAAATTTGTGCCAATAGATCCCTTTCACCGAAATCTTACACTGGAACTTTAATATCTGTTTTTTAAGTCACACGATAACCAAACCAGATGACTACATACTTGCTGTTCAGGAGCAGCCATGAGAATTCATACCAGTGTTTGCATATGTCTGACCCAGGTAATTTCCATGCTCTCGATTTATCTGTGTTGGCGTTTCTACTTTCAGCTGGAGTCATCTTGCGTCTCCATCCATGAGGTCCTCAAGGTGGTGGCTGACTCGCAGACGTGGTACAGGCTGAGAGAGGCACACGATCGCATGAAAGCAGAGCACCTGCTGGAGCGAGTGACCTACTGGTCCATCGGAGAAACCGTCCTGCTGTTCGTCATCGGCATTGGTCAAGTCATGTTGCTGAGAAGCTTCTTCGTTGAAAAGAAAGGCTCTGTCGCTGCTGCCACTTAGAACCTGTCATCTTGTAAACTCTGTGGTGTGAATGTAAAAGTTCATCTGGGAATTAGTGCACATGTTCCTGTAATTTCAGAAAACCCTTTGCTAAAGAGATAGTTCAAGGAGTTTACCTGTTTCTTACTGTTTACCCAGTATCAAAATTGTGAATTGTGCCTTCCTCATGTCCATGTTGTTAAGTTCTGAAATGGTTGTGTTCAAAAGAAACACCACTCACACTTGTGTTTAAAATAAGACCGACATCCTTCAACCTTGCACAGATGTTTTACTATATTTTACAGGAGTCATGTGTTTTGATTTACAGGAACAGTTAGTAATCAGGATCTGTTATGGATTTTCATTATGATACCCAGCAATTAGAAAGCTGTGGAACACTGTTAGAGACCAAAGAAGGGTTGTTTGTTTTTGAATGTTAGTTTAATTGTCTGTATTGTGTTTGTTATTAATTTATGTGTATAGAATTGTTGCTGTTGTTACATTGTAGGAGCTCCATCTCCCTCACATCCTGGTCTGTCTCTGGGAAAGTGCCTTAAGAAATCATAAAGGATTTCATTTTTCCTACTTGAAAGTTTACTGCTTTAATTTGTCTGTTAGCGTATGTGCCATCTTGTAGTTACTGATTGAATTGGTTTCATGCTTTCGAGGTGACCTACCTTTACAGATTCTTTTGTTCTCCCCCATAAATATGTTTTCAGTCCCCATGTCTTTATTGTCTGTATGTTGTATGTGGAACATGTCAAAACATTTCAATAAAATCTAATGGGAAGTTATAAGAGCTGAACTGTCGGAAGAATTTCTCAACATTGCCAGATTATGATTTGGATTTTCTACATTGGTCGTATTGCCTGCCACTGTGTGTATCAGTTCAGATATGTTCACATCACAATTTACTTTTAGTTTTAAACTTTTCAATAAGAACACATTTGATTTTTAACTTTACAGAATTAGATGATTGGGCAGCCTTGGTTGATTTCAGCTGTCTTAGATTAATTACATATTACAGTGCATGTCAGGCCTTGATTAACAACATATTCCCATATAAAGTACTAAAGTTAAACTTATAGGAGAGAAAAAATCATTAAAAGAATTTTCATGTAAAGTATAAGTACAATCTTATTCAGAGAAGGTGCAGTAATGCAGATAAAAAAAAACGTATCAAAAAAGTATCTGCACCCTTGATAAAAGCTCGACATGTGTTTTAAATGTTTTCAATGAGAACCAAAGTCAGTTTTAACAGCACAGGTATTTGTCTAGTTAGACATTTTTCACTGAGGGACTATTAATATCATGCTAGCTCTATTCATCTTTTTCTAATTCCCATTTTTGACAATATGAGCCACAAATCATGCAAAGTAAGAAAATTTGATTAAAACATGTCTGGAGATATTTAACCTTTCACTCAATGAATTACCTTTTTGAGGCATTGACCTGGTACAAAGCTATTTATCTACAATTCTATCTATTTTATCGCTCTATTGTCTCTGCTCTTGTTTATTGTTTTATTGTCACTGGTTCTTCCTGTAAAGCCCTTTGTATCATTGTTAAGAAAAGTGCAATATAAATAAAGTGTATTATTTGTATAGTACCTTTCATACAAGAAATGCAAAAGTTGTGGAACAGTCTGTTGCTAGAGAAGCCAGTTCAGTGAATGTCTAATAGACAACTCAAAACATTTCTTTCAACTCCTGCGCTCTTCATTTTTTTAATTATAATTTCTTTTGTTTTAAAGGTACAGTGTGTAGAATTTTGTGATATCTAGTGTTGAACTTACATGTTGCAGCTGAACACCCCTCACCTCGCCCTCTCCTTCCAAACATGAAAGAGAACCTGTGGAAGCTTCAGTTGTCATAAAAACTCAAAAGGTGTTTAGTTTGTTCAGTCTGGACTAATGTAAAAAACATGGCGGCCTCCATAGAGAGGACCCCTCCATGTAAATATAAAGTATAAAGGGCCTTTTCTGGGGTAAAGAAAACTACAATTCATACAATTTAGATGAAACAAACTAGTGAAAACCTCATGAGGATTATTCTACATTAAATTTCTGCCAATAGTTCCCTTTCACCTAAATCTTACACACTGGACCTTTAAAGCATTTTTTAAATTCATTTCTATTTGATTCTCTTTTTGTTATTCCTGTTTATTTTAAATGTCATCTTAACATGTTTAAGAGTGTGTTTCTTAAAATATGTTGTATTATGAATTACATTCTAGCATATTTTTTATTTTCATCTATATTGTATGTAAAGCACTTTGAGCTCCATTTTCTTTTTATCAAGGGTGCTAAAGAAATACAGCTGTAATTATGATATCAATTACTATGATTGTTGTTGTTGTTGTTGTTGTGGTGACAGCCCCCAGCAGTGAGACAGTGGAGCAGACAGTCTGTGAATCAGGAAGTGTCAATCAAATGCTGAAGTGAACTTGAACGCACCTTACGTCCCTCTGATTGGACCGGAACCGGCTTTTCTGACCAATCACAGCGAAGCCCGCTGACGTGTGAGGAGTCCATTGGTGAGCGGGTGCAGCGTCACCAGGTAAGCGGGCTCTTCCGGTCGATCCTCGGCTTCATCCATTGACGAACCAGCCCAGGTGAACATGGCGGGATTCCTGAAGGCTCTGACCACCACGTCCAGAGGCGCCGCCGCCGCTGGACTCACTCTGAACCCCGCGGTGGTGTCACCGGCCGTCGCCCGCCTCCACAGACCGCAGCAGAGGAGCTGTAAGTCGGATAGACTCTTATCCAGATAGATGACAGATAGAAGAAATGCTCTGCGTGTGTACAGCTGTAGTATGAATGTGTGGTACACAGTGTGTGACACACTGAGACAGCGATGTGTTCGATATCCAAACACACATCAACAGAAACATGTGTTTGTAAGGAACCAACGAAAAACACGCTGTTGTATAAAGTTAAAGTTGTATAAATCGGACATGTGACAGAGGAGGCATTGATGTAAAGAACTGATTCCCATCAGAAACCTGTTGCATGTTTTACATCATAAAGTCACTCAGTGAAGTTCTAATTCTAACAGGATCAGACTGTGTTCACGTGTTGTCAGGCACTGTGCCCGATAACACGTGCTGTGAAGGTGCTGTGAAAAGGTGTGACAGGTAATAACTGGTATCACTGCTCATATAATCCCAAGTCAGACAGTTTGTGTCAGCACTGAACTCTGTCTGACTGTGTCACTGTTTCACATCAGAACCAAGAAGTAATTCGAATCATTGGTAACATATTCACTTCTGCTGCATGAGAAGAATCATAATAATAATAATGATAACAAAGCTTCATTTCTGTAGCACTTACCTAAAGTGCCTTACAAAACACATGGGGATAAAACAACACAGAACAAAACAATTTAAAAAATCTGATATCTGTCATGCGTTAAAACCAGTTAAAAATCAGGCATGAAAAGGCGTTAATGTAAAAGGTGTTTCAAGCAATGATAACAGGTGGCAAGGAAATCCACTGTACTAGAATAAGGAGTTGGTAGCTCTGTAATATGTCTAATAACATACATCTACTTTAATTATTCCTGTGTTTGATGATTGTAAATTTACCATGGGTGCTTAGAGAAGTACCATTAAGAAAAATGTATTATTATTGTGACATGTCATTTTAATATTCAAGTAATTTTTTTAAACGTTGGTTTAATTTGTAATGAAATCATGCAAACTATGACTGTATGAAAATGTGTGTCCTGCTACATTTATTTTTAGTAGATAAACTGTGACACGTTGATAAACAAACTGTATCCCTGTATCTTCACCCTCTGCTGCTGTAAACTGTGAAAGTTAATACGAATGAATTTTTTCAGATGCAACAAAGCGCATCAAGGTGGAGCAGCCGGTGGTGGAGATGGACGGAGACGAGATGACTCGCATCATATGGGAGTTCATCAAAGAGAAGGTAGACTGCACGCAACAGAAGGCCTTCGATTATGAGGAAGCTTCTTGGCTCCAGAGCACATTTACAGACAGAAGAGTCGTGTGGCTACAACGTGTTCTTATTGAGATACACGTGTGCACTCGGGAGCACTTATCTCATCTCCTAAAAAGCAGTCACATGACACACTGATGAAATCTCTAAAAGCTGTAAAGCCCTTGACTTTAGAGGCAAATATCTCCTGAACCAAACATTTTGGCACACACACAGAGTCAAACATTAATAGACCAAAGTATTTTAAAGCTTAAATGAAGACTGCAGCTGCATGTATGAGCTTTGTAAGGCAAGTAGGTTTGGAGAAAGTTGAGGCAGAACTTGCATGTGATCCTATTCATTTGAAAATGTATAAAATATGAATATAAAATCAACCATTAAGCACAAACTTCTAAACAAACATGCTCAACATTAGAAACGTGTTTTAGCTGCCAGGGTGAAGACAATAAATGTTGGAATAAATAAAGACAAACAGGATCTCAATAAAACAAGACTTTTGTTTCCCTGTGTGTGCGTGGGCGTGTGTGCGTGGGCATGTGTGTGTTGTCCTTAGACAAATAACACATCAGCATCTTGTGCTTATACAGCTCATCCTGCCAAACGTGGATGTGGAGCTGAAGTACTTTGACCTGGGTCTTCCCTACAGAGACCAGACTGATGACCAGGTCACCATAGACTCTGCACTGGCCACTCAAAAATACCACGTGGCCGTCAAGTGTGCCACCATCACTCCCGATGAGGCCAGGGTTGAGGGTGAGTGACACTCAGTGTGCTCAATCAGAAAGTTTCTAGTCTTTTTCAGATGTTTGACATCACGACGCACTTCTTGTTCAACCAGTAGAAATGTTTGTAGTTTAGTGAAATCATTAATAATAACAAGCTGGTAATATCTATATTTTTCCAGAGTTTAAGCTAAAGAAGATGTGGAAGAGTCCAAATGGAACCATCAGGAACATCTTGGGTGGCACAGTTTTCCGTGAACCAATCCTTTGTAAAAATATTCCCCGTCTTGTTCCTGGTTGGACGCTGCCCATAACAATCGGTAGACATGCTTTTGGCGATCAGGTAAAAAAAAGAAAGACAAAATGTTAATGTGTTTTTTGCTTTTCTCAGAACAGGCATTGAAACTGGCAATAAAACCAACTTACATACTGGGTGTGATTTTAAATTTCTCAGTACAGAGCCACAGACTTCGTTGTTAACCAGCCAGGCAAGTTCAAGATGGTGTTTTCTCCAGCTGATGGGAGCCAGAAGAAGGAGTGGGAGGTGTACGACTTTCCTGCTGGGGGCTGTGGGATGGGAATGTACAACACTGATGAGGTAAAAATGAGTTTGGTCATAGATATATTTACTCTTGTCTATTTCATAGACAATTAATGTGTAACTTCACAGCCAGCAGGTCAAACGGTGTGTGAGAAGCAGGAGAGGTTGGGGGACGTCTCTGAACTGTAGACATGTGGGGAGTTTAGGGGTTTCATTATAGATTTGATAATGAGAGGTGGGGGCTGAATTTGTTTTTATAAATTCGATTTGTGTAAAACAGACGCTTGACAGGTTTAATTTCAATGTTCTGTGAAGTGATTTTTTTCTGGACTTCATGTTTCTCAGTCCATCACTGGATTCGCTCACAGCTGCTTCCAGTATGCCATCCAGAGGAGGTGGCCTCTGTACATGAGCACCAAGAACACCATACTGAAGGCCTACGACGGCCGCTTCAAAGACATCTTCCAGGACATCTTTGAGAGGTAGGACATCAACAAACCAGCAGACCTAGTGCACATGACGGCTTTATCACATCACTCCGGGAGAACTTTATTAACCAGGCTCGTAACAAAGCCTAACAAAGCCACAACAAACACTGCACTGTCTCTAGTTTTATTATAATAGGTCCTTTAACAACCACTGAATTTAGCTGCCTCCATCAAATGTTTTATTGTTCTGTGTTCTTTAGGAATTATGAGCCTGAGTTTGACAAGCTGAAGATCTGGTACGAGCACCGCCTCATCGATGACATGGTGGCTCAGGTTCTGAAGTCGTCCGGAGGTTTTGTTTGGGCCTGTAAGAATTACGACGGAGACGTGCAGTCCGACATTCTGGCTCAGGGTAAGTGCACGTGAACTTGAATGAACTGCTCTCTATGTGAATGTCAGATTAATAAGATAAAATCTACATCTCGTGATTTGTGTGTTTGGGCTCGGGCTCCTCTAATAGCATGTCTGTTGTGTGTCATGTCAGGCTTTGGGTCTCTGGGTCTCATGGCGTCAGTGCTTGTATGTCCTGACGGTAAGACCATCGAGGCGGAAGCTGCACACGGCACCGTCACCAGGCACTACCGTGAACACCAAAGGGTGAGCGTCATCAGGTCACTCTGCCTGGAGTTTTATTTGTGTGTGTACACATGTGTATTCTTGGAAATGTTTGCACACTTTGACCTGAGCCAGTTTTTCAGTGGATTCATTCAGAGCTCAGATTTGGTGTCAGGTTTAAGGTTAGAATTAGTTTGAGGACAAGGGCTTTAGTCAAATGCAAGGTGGAGATAGGTGGAACAAGGAAAAAAATGTAAGCTATCGTCTTAATTATATTTTTGCTTCAGAGGGTCAGAGGAACTTCACCACCTCCAGATTTGAAATCCGAGATGGCTCCTCTAGTAGTGAAAGCTGTAGCAATTCTGTCAATAAATGTGTTGTGCACATAGTACTGTCCAATTACTCTCTGTGGACGTCTTACTGCAGTGTTAGTTTGTGTGAAATGCTGCGTAATTAGTTATTAAGAACTGTTTTTGCTAACAATGGCTTGCTGGCTAAAGTGAAAACCCGCAAATACACACGTACGTTGTTTTGTGTTCACGAAGACCAAATGATGGTGTTTTCACCCAGAGTTTACAGATGTGTCCAAAGTCGCTGTGTTTCTGTGTGTGTCTATGAAACGGCACAAACAAGTGAGGGAGAGAGACTGAGGGGGAGAGAAAGAGGAGTCAGAGGGCTGATTTACTGTCAGGTTGGATGGGAACCATTGGGGCGCAAATTTACCATTTTACACCTGTTTTACACACTGAGTCCATTTTACAAATCCATGGCGCAGATCCTGAAGCAGACACTTCACATGATGAATTTCCAGTAACTGACATTAACTGTGTTGTTGCTCTGCAGGGAAGACCAACCAGCACCAACCCCATCGCCAGCATCTTCGCTTGGACCAGGGGACTGGAGCACAGAGGCAAACTGGATGGAAACCCTGATCTGATGAAGTGTGTTTTCTGATTAGTTAGATGTTACGCACTCTGTATTTATTATTTTTACAACACACTGATCTGTCGCTCTGCATCATCACTCTTCAGATTCTCCCAGACATTAGAAAAAGTCTGCGTGGAAACTGTGGAAAATGGTTTGATGACCAAGGACCTTGCAGGCTGCATCCATGGCTTGGCCAAGTGAGTGTACATATTCAAATCCCTCACTCTTGCAATCTATGTGTTGTATGCACTGTCTATCACACTCTCCCATGAATAAAACTGATTATATTTATTATTGATCTAACCCCATGCTCTGTGATTTTGCAGCTGCAAGCTGAATGAACATTACATCAACACATCAGACTTCCTGGATGCGATTAAGAGCAACCTGGACAAAGCTCTGGGCAAATGAAAAACAAACACTTCCTAACTTGTATAAACCTTTGTATCCAACTTGAAAGGAAGCAAGTTCTGTGCCTTTGTGTATTTGAATAGCTCACTTACACATCACTGTTCCTCTGCCTTTATCGCTGCTTTTTTACTGCACAAATTGAATGATTTTATTGTATTAGTTCCAATGTTAACTTATAATGAACATATCAGCCTTTTAATGTAATATAATGCCATGTTTTGCACTTTCCTTATGAATACAAAGAGTAATGATTGATAATCAATCATTAACAAGCATTGTGTGTGGAGTTGTGTGTTTGTGTTATCTGGACAACGCAGCATAAAACGCTTATCAGCACAGACGTGACAGTATCATTTTGTGTCGGGTTAGATTAAGTGAAGAAAATCTCTGATAACAACCAAACTCTATGATTCACAAAGGAAAGTCATCAGTGAGGCAGATTGAGGCTTTGGAATTTAAATCATGGGGACAGAAATATATTATAAGTATATTAAATGAGTATTATTAAATGATGGAGAATAGCTCTGAAATATTGGTTTGATCAGTGATGAGTGTTAAAACCACAACTCATCCAGACTAGACGTTATGTCACAGGGACTCCTTTGATGCGTTTGCTTGTATGAGCCTCTGTCCAGCAGTGCAGCGCTGCATGTTCATGTAGGGGGCATCATACATCCAGGTCACAACTGAAAAATCTGTCTGCTTCAGAGGCAACTACAGTCCTCCACCAGCAGATGTCGACATAGCAACAGTCAGTCTGTCATCTACGTTGTTGTAATGGAAAGCCTACAGTCATTGTACCATGACATAGACAACTATTAACCGATGAACTAAATTAAACCTGCACATCATTTGAAGTGTTTTCTCTATGTCAGATATACTGAAGGAGTCTGAACTGGTCCTCCATCAGTGTGGGAGTTCATCTTACTTGGGTTTTTATTGTGTTATCCCCTTTATATACAGTCTGTGGTTATCCCATATAAAAACAAATACGTAAATAAAGTAGAGTAAAGTATATACACTCACCGGCCACTTTATTAGGTACACCTTGCTAGTCCATCAGAAGATGTGTACACTGGTCATAAAGGGATGGACATGGTCAGCAACAATACTCAGGTAGGCCGTGGTGTTTAAATGATGCTCAGTTAGTACTAAGGGTCTCAAAGTGTGCCAAGAAAATATCCCCCACACCATTACACCACCCCCACCAGCCTGAACCGTTGATACAAGGAAGGATGGATCCATGCTTTCATGTTGTCTACGCCAAATTCTGACCCTACCATCTGAATGTCGCAGCTGAAATCGAGACTCATCAGACCAGGCAACGTTTTCCAATCTTCTATTGTCCAATTTTGGTGAGCCTGTGATCATTGTAGCCTCAGTTTCCTGTTCTAACCTGACAGGAGTGGCACCCGGTGAGGTCTTCTGCTGCTGTAGCCCATCTGCTTCAAGGTTTTTGAAATACTCAGACCAGCCCGTCTGGCACCAACAACCATGCCACGTTAAAAGTCACTTTAATCCCTTTTCTTCCCCGATCTGATGCTCGGTTTGAACTTCAGCAAGTCGTCTTCATCACGTCTAGATGCCTAAATGCACTGAGTTGCTGCCATGTGATTGCCTAATTAGCTACTTGTGTTAACAAGCAATTGAACTGGTGCGCCTAACAAAGTGGCCGGTGAGTGTATGTTATGTGAACAAGGGTCTCATCAGATATATCTGGTGATGAAGGTAGGCTCTGTGAGTATGAAAACACTGATGGAACAATATTAATTTGATATCTTGTTGTTCCTCCTGTTAATTTTGGTTCTCAAAAGTCCTGACAAACGTTAACTTTACACTTTACAGCCAGAGAATATACCCGTCCCACTCTCTACTTATTAAAAAAGCTTCCTCTGACATAAAAGAGTTAGCATTTAGATTATGCCTCACTTACTTTTTTAAAAGTTTCCTTATGAAGGAAGGTTTCCCAAAGTGCTAGAGAGCCTCATATTATCTACAGCTGTAGAGGAGACCTCACTGAGCAAATTGATCAATCACGTCCTGGGAGGTGATTCATGTGGAGGTGTAGTCTATGCACAAAGCAGAGCACCTGTCTGACTCATTCAGAGACTGGAGGAGGGGGAGACTTCAGAAAGACCTGAAAGTCACAGTTAAGTTCCTGCAGCGTGAAGTGTGTCTTCTGAGAAGACATGAACCTCCTACCTGCATAGAACTAAATATATCTAAGGAGGAGAAATGGGATTACAAATAAACAAT